TAAATAATAGGAAAGAAGAGGAAAAACAGAAGCAGGAGGCTGATGTAAAGAGACAATATCTAAATTCTTAGGCATATTTTAATTTCAGTAGACTGCAGTTTAATATCATCAAACTATAGTAATTTTTCCTGAATCTGAGAAGATTATGGTGTGAAAAGCACAGCACTCTATAGTATGTTTAGCAATTCAACTACTCATGTAATATGTTGACATAGTCAGTACTTTACAGCTTTTTACTAGTCTTTAAAATTCTTTTAACAGTCTATAGATAAAATCTATGTGTCATCTACAACTTAGTATCTATACATACATACAACACTTTAGTCAAAGGCTACAATGGGTTGGGTAGTTTTTCATCCAATAGAAGACAGTTCATCTACCTTTCCTTTCCTGATGTAGTTTAATTCCCTGTGCTCTCTGATTCTCTGATGAACAATAATTGCAACAGCAAACACTGAAAATTTGAGATAGTGTTGCCACCTCTCACAAGTTTATCACAAGTCGTGTGCTATCTGGTGTTTTCCTTAAAGCTGAAGTTTAATTAAATTAATCAATGTATTTAAAAACAAAAAAGGAAGTTTCTAGCATTCAGTATAGTGGTAAAAAGCTTGACAGTGTGAATCACAAAGGTTCAAAAAGCAGAAGGCAAATAAAAAAGAAGCCCAAAATTATCATTTTAAAAATATCTCATGATTTGTAAGCCAAACTCTTGATTTTGCAGGGGCTTGATTAATGATTTTGAAAGTCTGGGACTGGCAATTCTTTTGGAGATTCTGAAATATGAGCAGTTGTCACCCAGTGAGGGTAAAAGCGTGGAAATGTATTTGTTTTAAAAGTGATACCAGAAAACTAGTCTGTCTGTCAATTTGTTTTCTCCTGCATACACAGTTGAGCCCTAGTCCTGTAATTGGATCTGCAAGGGTGGCTCATGGGGTCCACATAGGCACAAGGATCAACTACGTGGATCCAACTGCACATTCAGGGCCTCAGACAGGGTGTGGATCTTTCACACAGGAACAGGGGACAGAAAAACATTCTCATAACAAAGTAAAATTGTATCACCACAAAAACTTGCAGAAAGACTCAGTGGTACGTCTTTTTCTTTTAATTGACCACACATAAAAGGATTCCAATTTTAAAATGTTACTTTCTATTAAATTTCATAGGAGTTGTGCAAATTCCATTGTTTATCATCAAGTACAGCAAGCTGCTTTGGAAAATAAATCCCCAACTGCAATATACTGTGCGCTGGATAACAGAAGATAGATAAGATATGTTCATGAATCATGTTTTGAATTTTCAAAATCAGTAATTAGCAAAAGACCATGACCTACAACTATTTTTAGTGCCTTGTATGTAAAAAATAATTTACTTTTTAGACATCTGTTTGCTGCACATTTAATTTCAAACTACAATTATACAAAGTTTTAATTAGTAAATGTTAAGATACATTTTAGTAGTAGTCTTATGATTCTTACTTGTAATTCAAACTATAAACAATATAACTAATTATACTTATTGGTCAAACTTTACTTCTCACACATGCTAAACCACTTTCAATTATTTCCCTTGTAATCTGTGACCCAGTAAGGTAGAGGAATTGGGTGCCTATGCTGCAGGATAACAGTTTCTGTGCATTCAAGCATGATGTTGTAGACTTACCCTGATGTTTGAGATGTTAAAGAAAACAACACCTACATGTGCATACAAAGGCAAAAGTTTTGGACAACAATAAAAATACCGTAATGAACCTTGTGACAAATATTTGAAAATTCTAGGGAAGTTTAACTGGGTGATATAAGTATCTTGCAAATCACATCTTGATTTTTTGCTTTGGCAACCAAGTCAAAAATCGAAATTAAAAGCTAGACTGTGAGCTAGACCATATACAGCTACAGAGTAATGGCAACTGAATAATGATGCTCCCCCTTTTTGTTCAGACTTCATGAAGGCTGGTTGTTGCCCCAGCACTTTGGGGAGCACAGAAACTGCTACCAAAATGCTTCCCTCCCAAAGTAAGTCACCCAACAGGAGTGTGCAGGGGGAAATAAATGGAACAGAGCTGGCTGACTGCACCAGCTAAACCTGTTACAGGGGTGCAACCAGTTTGTTCCTGAAGATATTCTGCCTTGATAAGGCTGAATGCCTCCTGCTCCTTCTCCTGCAGGAAAAAGCAGCTTTACATTACTTTTGCTATAGGCTGTTACTAAATGCCACAATCTAACTGTCATTTAACGTCAAGTCTCTGGACTTCTAACTCTACAGTGACAGTTACTTTTAGAGTGGATTCCCCAAGGAAGCAATGAAAACCTAGAGATCTTCAGTTATTAAATAATTGTGAACAATCAGAACACATTCAGCAGCATTGCACGCATACCAACACAAGGTATAAAAGGCATTTATTTCAAAGTCTGTGGTTTATTTTACTTTCTGTGGGTACACACTGGTGCAAAAGGCCCAGGCAAGGCCCTACATTCCAAGTGAAAAACAGAAGTTTCACGTTGCCCTCTGCAAGGGGAATGAAAACAGATGAGAAGTGTACAAGGAGTCTACATAACTACTGTATTTGGGTGGGAAAGAGAGAATATGAATATTTACTCTAGGACATTAATTTTCCACAAGCTCCTATATTTACTTTATTGCTACTCTTCAGGATTACAGAATAGCACTTTGGGGATGGATAGAGCAAAGAGGTTAGAAGCATCATTTTTCTAGTTACTAAAAACGTCTAAAAACAAGCTGAAACTTTTTAAGCTAAAATATTTTCTAGGGCAGGAAAGAATAAAAATACTAAGCAAATCTGACCACTTAATATTATGGTAAAAATAAAACCTTTATTATTGTAGTTCAATATTTGTTTCTATTATAATTAGAGGCAACCCCCAATCTAAACTTCTACTGTCAACAAAACCAATACATAAATAAATAAATCAGATAAACTTATTTTTAACAGGGAATGCAAAAACAGGTGTTAATCACAGTTATTTTTTTTTAAATAAGGACTATTACATTAAATATACTTCTCAGGTCTAGTTTTCCATGAAAGATATGTGATGTGCCAGTAGTTATATATTATATTCTTCCTCCCATGCATGCACCTCCTGTGGAGATAGCAGACTACAGAAGCTGACCCTTACTGAGACCATCTTGTCTCTATGACAAAGCTCCTTTTTAACTTCTTGCTTACTGGTTACTTCCTGTGATGGAGAAAAACTTTAGCTCAGCTTGTGATAATTTCACAGGCCCTGAGCACCCTGACCCTAGAAGCCCCAAGGTCAGAAGTCAAGTCTTGTTCTGAAACATCTGTGTGCTTCATATTAAACTAGAACAAAAGTGGAGAAATATCCACCAGTGTGACGAGAGAAACAGGCAAAATGGGAATGACACATTGGTCATCTGTTACCCATGCCATCTCAAGCCATTGACTGAAATGTGATAGAAAGAACTTTACTCACTAAAATTCCAAAATACCTTCAAGTAAGTGGTTTGTTTATTAAAAATTAACAAAGTTCTCAAACAAACTTTGGCTTTTCTGACTTCATATATTAAGAAATGCTTATTCAAAAATGTGCATACAATATATTTGTATGCATCCAGTGACCCAAATAATATTACTTGACAAAACCTACTGAATTCTACAGATATTTCAATTTCAAAATTTAAGTACATCAGGGTAATCCAACAATCGGAGTATTTGAAACTTCACAGTTTACAAAAGCAAAGGAAATAGATAATTCATACTATTACAGTATATAAGGAATTCAAATCATATGACGTAATTGAAAAGAGCTCACGTTATACAATCAGTTTATGCAGCTGCAATTATAGATCAAAATGAACAGTTAAGGTGTGTTACAAACAGAATAATTTACAACTACAAAACTTGGTATCTTGATATTTTTTGTTTTGAGAAATAAAAGTAAATTTGTACAATTTACTGACAGGACTGTAAAACATTTGTGGGATTAGATCAGCTACATCATTCTCAGGTTTCAACATGTGCACACTGTTTAAATAAAGCTTGGGGAAGCAATGAGAGAACTGAAATAGCCTTAATTTCCATAACAAAAAAAATCAACAAGAACTGTTAAAATCTTTGAATCACATAAGCATTTCTTCTCTTGTTTTCTCATTGACCAGAGGTGCTCACACATCTATTTTCTCCCAGAGTAGCAAACAGTCAAAAAACTTTAATTACATAAACACAGTAACCCAACGTATCAGTAGTGCAATTGTGATGTCCTCCCATGACTTTGAATCAAGGTGCAAAATTGCTTGAACATTTTGGTCCTGAACCTGCTAACACTAATGCATATGCTTAATTTTATGCACACGAGTTGTCCCATTGAGCCATTCTTAATTCTGTGAATTTAAACAGGCAGTTTCCTTCTAATGCTTTCATAGAAAGTGATATGCAAGTTTGCCTTCCATGGAAGTGGCAAAATCTGCATCCACACTCTTTCCTGTACTTCCTTCACACTGAGACTGATCCAGAGCCCAATGAAATCAACAGAAGTCTTTCCTGTGACTTTAATGGGCTTTGGATCAGGTCCTCTATGAGTTTCCCTGTCAACAGGTGCCTCCAAGTTCCCTCACTTGAGTTCCAAATTGCATTGGGGGAAATCATATAAAATAACACTGACTCAGTGAGCATTACACATTGTACTTATTTGTATTCAGACCCAACCTAGAACTCACAGAGCACGACAGAAGCTGTATTCTCCCTTTTTTTGCACGCATATCACCAGTCAGGATCCATAGGTTTTGGCTTCCCTGGCTTCTGTAAGCATGAAGCCCTATGTGACTGTCTTCTAATTTGGTAAATAATCAACAGAGTAAAAAACAGTGCTTTTAATTTTTTTTAAACCCAAACATACCATGTGAAAAGCTGTTTAGAGTTCTAAATTGTCCACCCTCTTTGGAAAGAGAACATTAAATTTAACTTCTGCAAATATGTGAAAGCCCTCAGCAAATAGGGCAATGGAAAAGTTAACACTTACCAACTCTACGAATGCAAGTCCACCGTAACTGTGAGCGACAAAAAATATGTTTTCAGCTGCTGACTCAGCAATAAAGTGGTCCCACACATAAATTGCATGTTCTTCAGGAGAGCCATTATCCTACACAGAGAAGTATATTATTCACTATAATCTTTTGAAAACTGACAGTTTTGTCTACAGGCAACATATTCCTAGTTGTTAAAAGGTTTTGTTAAAAAAACCCACAAATACATTTCTGCTAGGGTCACAAAAATTCATTGATTCTTCTTTAAAAAAAAATCAACACACAAAACAACCCTGAGAATGTGATTTAAAGACTGCAAAATCTGCTTTCTTTGAATATAAACAAAATATTGTGCAGTTACAGGAAGTCTAAGCACAATAATGGCATTTCAGCTAAACAGCCTCACTCAAATTTAATACAGAATAACAATAATAATATTTAGTTCTTATATACACTTTTCATCAGTAGATCTCAAAGTTCTTTAACAAAGGAGGTCAGTATCATTATCCACATTTTACAGATGGGGAAACAGAAGCAAAGAATGACTTGACTGGCCCAAGGTCACCCAGTAGGCCAGACGCTGATCAGATTCAAACTTTTGACAACTTTGCGTCAAATATTTGTTCACTAAAAAGTCTTTGTATGTTTGTATGAAATTAAGACTTAATCCAATAAAGAGAATAATAATAATAATAAAACAGAGGCTTCATCTCACTCTCTAGTATTTTTCCCACTGCTGCTATACATCTACATGTTCTAACCATACAGAATATGGCCTAATTCCATAATGACATAACTGATTTTTTACATCATACTTATTCTATGTTATTTTGCAATTACAAGCTAATATACAATGCAGATAGAGCACCTCTTGACCATTTTCTAGTAATACTCATTATTTTGGGGCCTGGGAGTTATGGGAGAGCAAATTCTCTACTAGTTAAAACCATAGGACTGGTGATCAGAATATCTGGGCTGTACATTCCTACCTCTGTTACTAACTTTCTATGTGCCTATCAGCAAGGCATTTAACCTCTCTGCACCTCACTTACCTCTTAGTATTAGTACTTCTTATGCAAGTATTAATGTAATAAACATGAAATGCCTGATACTAAACATTACTTCCCTAGTTGAAAAGCCATAAATAAGTGATATAAAAATCACAAGTAAGTAAATACCGGTGAGGGCAACTGGTAGCCATAGGATTCTAATGATTTCAGTGTTAATTATTCATATAAATTATAGATAGACTGTAAAATTTTCAAAAATTAGTCCCTTTTTCAAAAATGATGTAGGCACTTAGGCTACGTCCTCACTACGGGGTTGGGGAGGTGTCGATTTAAAATACACAAATTCAGCTACGCGAATAGCGTAGCTGAATTCGACGTATCGGAGCCGACTTACCCTGCTGTGAGGACGGCGGCAAATCGACCTCTGCAGCTCCCCCGTCGATGGCGCTTACTCCTACCTCCGCTGGTGGAGTACTAGCGTCAATTCGGGGATCGATTTCTACCTGCCCTTAGGAGCCTATGTCTCAATGAGACTTTGGATCCCAAGCACCTAAATCACTTTGGAATAAAGCAATTAGACTCCTAAATCACATGGACAATTTTGAAACTTTTATCCACTGTTCCTTTAACTAGCAGAAACTGAGAACAAAGCTTTACTCCTACCTTTTAATGTACAGTAACAGGATAGGAAATGTTTATCAAACTTTCAAAACAGCCACAAAGTTCCTTAGACTTGGGCAGATTCTATTATTGATTGACTGACTCTCAATGATACAGTGAAGTGTCAGCCTATTAGGTATCAAGAGCTACATTCATCTCCATGCAAGGGAAGGGATATTTTCTGTCTTTCAACTCTGGTTCTGCAATTTGATCATGAAGATATAAGACTCCAACCACTTGAATCCAAATACATGATCTGGATCCAAGTAAAGAAACTGGAATGTGTTTTTGCTTCTATTAGCAAAGCAGAGGCTTGCAAATGAATCACTTTTTTCCCCCTAGAGATTTGTTTAAGATAAAATAGAGCAGTATGATCTGGAGTTTATTAAGGGAAGTTATGTACGTTTTAACTGGGATTGCTATAGAAGAAAAATGTTGAAACAAAAGGTTTTCTCTAAGAAAAGTTTAGAAGCTATGCTACTGTAAATAATACACTGCAATAAAATAATAATAGCAGCTAAGGCGTTTTCCTTAGTCAAGTGAATTAGATTTACAGTTAGTTTTTAATTGAGAATAAAATTAATCATTGTAAAAGCAATTTAATCAAGTTCTGAGCTCTGACAAAGAGAAAGAAGGGTCAGTTATTTTTAGTTAAAAATTGTGCGTCAAATCATGGTGCAGCCCATTTTTATTATTCTGTGTATCATTAGGGCAAAAGCATAGAGTCTTAGGACTACAGCAGGAAGCTTCCAAAGGATTCAGAAATCAAGTGAGAGTTTAGATATCTACAAATAACTCCCACTGATTAAAGCAAAACCAAACAATCTGATAAACCAAATATTTAACCGTTAGATTGCATACATTCCAGCATGAAGATTCAATTCAAGATTATTTTTTATATACAAAAGCAAAGAGAGGCTCTGTCTAAAATTAGTTACTTTGGACTATAACTTCTGTTTTTCTTTTTTATTGTTAAAGTGCCTTAATGTAAAATAGAGAGACAAGGTGGATGAGGTAACATCTTTTATTGGACCAACTTCTGTTAGTGAGAGAGACAAGCTTTGGAGCTACATAGAGCTCTTCATCAGGTCTGGGAAAGGTACTTGAATGTCACAGCTAAATACAAGATTGAACCAATAGTTTATCATAAGTAGTTATCACATATTCTAAGCGACCCTTCAAGGTGAAGTGCTACAATGTGGAGCTCAAAAGCTTGTCTCTCTCACCAACAGAAGTTAGTCCAATAAAAGATATTATCTCACGCACCTTGTCTCTCTATATCCTGGGACCAACAAGGATACAACAACACTACATACATTAATGCAAAATACATTGTATTGTTCTGTATACGCTGCTAACCCACAGATAGTATAAAAAGAGGATCTGGGACAGGGGAACACTACTGGATGAAGTGATACATTTTAAAGTGAAAGCTGTTTCTTTACGATAGGTATCAGAATAACTTTACTTTGAAGCTGGTCAAGATTTCAGGCAACTTTTTGGGACAAGCAAATCAATGCTGCCAATACGTAAGATGGAGCTGGCTATCTAATAGAGAGTTAGGCACCGCAGTCTCCACAGAACTGTTGGGCTGTTTGGAATTTGAATTTATGCCAGTTCCACCAGGGTCTGAGGATTAAGTGGGTCTGTCTGGCCTTGGATAATTTAGGGTGCTGAGTACCGGAGTTTCAGTACAGAAGGTGACAATCCAAGGTAACTGTTACTTCCCATTCTTTTACTGCTACTAGAATATCCTGACTTTACATGTTAACTTGTTAAGTTATTTAATGAAGTGCAGGCCTCTTTGTCATGCTTTCCATAATTTTCTGTATGACCACATAAAAAGGGAGTGAAAGGTTATATTACCTACCTCATAAGGCAGTTGTGAGGCTTTATTCATTGTCATTTGTAAAGTGTTTTGAGATCATTGGCTGGAAGGCTGCTATAGAAGCCCACGGCAAAATTTTCCATCATACATGCCTCAAGTTGGATATCTAAACCCCATAGTTATGTGCCTAAATAAATGGCTTGACTTTCAATGGTATTGAAGTTAATAACAGCCAGGGGCGTTCAGCACTCTGAAAAATCAAATAATTTATTCAAGATCCTAAATAGATGTTATGTGCCTAGATTCTCCAGTCTGCTAAGGCCTCTAAAGTGCTGCTTATACAATGCAAATTGGCTGGAATACAGACTGCAGTAGCTAGTGTAAAACTGCTTCCTGTGCCAGCAGCCTCCCAACTCCTGGTGTATGGAAAGCGAGGAGATATTGTCAGGGGCATGACAAAGTGGAGCTCGTCCACTGGCTCAAGGTCACTGAATGACATTACGCCAGTTGTGACGTTGTGCAGTCTATATGGTTTTATAAAAACTTGATAATAAGTCAATATAATGTAACTGAGATAGTTTTAGAGAAAATACGGTAATAAGTGAATGTAACGTAACTGGGATATGCTTCATGCAAAAGGTCTCTTGTAAGGTATCATTACAAAGCTTATAACCTACTGAGTATGATCATCTGATTTGTATAAATGAACCACTCTTGTATCTAAAACTAGAATATAAAATGTAACTC